TTCTTCCAAAGGTAGCCATCCTTCCGGTATTTCACCTTCTTACGATTGTAGAGAATAATGGAGCCATTCTGAGGCCTGGAAGGGCGGTAGGTTTGAGTTTTGTGAACATAGCCCAGGATTCCTGTTATTCTCCAAACTGGAGAATCTTCTCACCTTGTCTTTGGGGCACAAGACAGCCACTCATCATGTTTCTCAAAGGTGATCAGGTAGGATGCGATCTCCTGGAGGAGAGGAAGCACTTGGGTCATCCCACCTTGATCATTGGCTTGGGGCCTCTGCACAGGTGGCACCTACTGTAAGACTCTTCCAGTATTTGGACCAGCAAGGTCTCACAACTCTTAAGAACAGCAGGTTCAGGCTGGAGAGATGGCTCTGAGGTTAAGATCACTGGCTGCTTTCCCAGAAGACCTGGGTTCAATTCTCAGCACCCACATGGCAGCTCACAACTGTTTATAACTCCAGTTCCAGGGGATGCAACACCCTCACACAGAGAAACAACCAATGAACATAAAAACAAACAAAGAAAGAAAAGAACAGCAGGTTCTATCTCAGATGAAACTGAACCTCAGGCTGGGGATGTGTTCCAAAATAGAAAAAGACAGTGCTTGTTTAGCATGTGCAAGGCCCCAGGAGCAGGAAAAAACCCAACCTAACCTCTTATCTCTCCAACCCTACTGGGGCCCATACCATGGAGCCAGCTTCATGTTTATCCTTTGTTCATATTAGGTATTTTCTCTGTGACCCTTTCTGAGAAAAGTCATTGACAAGAACTCCAGCTTCTCTCTGACTTCAAGGCTTTCAGAAAAAGTATTAATTCAATTCATACTATTTACTCAAATTCAACCCACTAGTCCTGCCAGATGGGCTCACTGGTTCCTTCCTGAACATTCCTCCAACCAATTACATCTTTCATGTTAGTGTCCTACAAGCCTAAAGTACCATGTGAATGCCTCTCTATGTTTGGAAATCTCAAATATCATACATGCTTCCCAAAAGCTCTGTGAAGCCCTGTTGCTTCTCTGAACTTCCTGAAGGTTCTAAAGCACTTACAATAACCATATGCAAACACACCCAATTTTATTGACAGTACACAGTCTCACTATATAACCTTGGCCTGCCTTGTACTTGATATATAGACCAGGCTGGCCACAAGTGTGTGGTAATCCTCTTGCCTCTGCCTCCTGAGTGCTAGGATTACGGATATGAACTATTACCTCCGGCTTTACAGATAATTCTAATACTGAATCAGTAATCATCAACCACCAACTAAATATGAGGTAATATGTATACAGAATATAAAGAGTATGTAACACAAGAACTGCCCCCCCCCAGAAGGTGGTAAAAAGCAGGGTCTCTGAGACAGATATACACCTGTCACCCAGCACTCAGCACTCAGGAGGCTGAGGCAGGAGGATCAGGAGTTTCAGGCCACTTTAAACTGGAGAAATGTTTCAGTCAGTAAAGTGCTTGCTGTCTAATGTGGACATAAACTCAGATCCACAGCACCCACGTTAGAAGCTGTGCACAGCCTGGTGCCTGGAATCCTAGTGCTGGAGAAAGAGAGACAAGATGGTTCTGAGGCTGGATGGCCAGCTAGTCTAGCTAATCAGTGAGCTTCACGATTTTGAAAGGCCAGTGGTGGTACACACCTTTAATCCCAGCACTTGGGAGGCAGAGGCAGGTGGATCTGTGAGCTTGAGTCCAGCCTGGTCTACAGAGTGAATTCCAGGACAGTCAGGGTTACACAGTACACAGTACACAGAGAGACCCTGTCTCAAAAAACAAACAAACAAAAAAGGAAGACTGTGTCTCAAAAAATAGGAAGAGTGAAGAGTGACTGCAGGCCAATAATGAATAAGGTCAGCCTGGGCTATAAGGCGAGACCCTGTTTAAGGGAGAAAAAAAAAAGCTAGACAGAGTAGCACATACCTGAAATCATAGTACTAAAGACAGGGAAGCAGGAGGATCAAGAGTTCAAAGCCAGGGCTGGGAGTGTAGCTCAATTGGTAGAAGGTTTATCTAGCATGCACAAGGCTTTTGGTTCATTTCCCAGAACCACATTAACTGGATTTGGTGACATACTTTTAGAATTCTAGCACTTGAGAAGTAGAGGCAGGAGGATTGGATATTTAAGGTCATCCTTGGCTACACAGTGAGTGTGAGATGTTCTCTTAGGGAAAAAGAAGGAAGGAAGGAAGGGAGGAAGGAAAGAAGGAAGGAAGGAAGGAAAGGACGGACAGAATAGTAAAAAAAAAAAAAAAAAGAGTTCAAACCAGTCTTGACTACATAGCAAGTTCAAGGCTAGCTTGGACAACATGATACCCTGTCCAAAACCCACCAAGCAACACACAGAAACAAACCAAATCACCTTTCTCTTCATTAACATCTATAATGATAGGAGATAGTGCATGTCAGATACAAAGCATGTTGCTCAATATGAAGAAATACTAAGCTATTGTTTTTATACCAAAGAGAAATGGACTCCTATAAGGTCCAAGTCTGTAATTCTATCATCCCCAAAGCCTAGATCAGTGCTTAGTAGTGAATGTCCATAGACACACCCCTCCAGCCCACTAGGTCTTGCCAGGCCCTAACCCCATGTTCCCTAGGAAAACCTCATTTGTATTCCACCGGAGCCGCTCTGGAGGCAGCAGGGCACATCGAGGAAGACACTCCAGCAGTTTCTTGGGGAGGAAGATCTTCAGGTGGTGGCTGTTCTCTAGAGGAAACAAGAAGGGAGGGTTTTGTTAGAGGCAGTCTGGAGGAAAGGGGCCAAATATAACCCAGAGCACCAGGGAAGACTACAACTAGGGCCAGAGAGACAGGGAGCAAAGGACAGCAGGAGAACATATAAGACTGTGCCCAAATTGGGAACCTGTTCTGAGAACTCACCAGCAACCTCAGTGGCGTCCTTGGTATTCATGGTGAGGGTTCCAGGGGGCAAGGTCACCCCCGGCCTGAGGGGCCGGGGGGAGGGGGAGTCTGTACTGGGAAAGGAGAGAACAAGGTCATGGAAGAAGCCCCCATATGAATTCATGATTAGGAGCTTCAGGTGGGGTAAGAGGTTATAGAGTTCAGTCCTGATTATCTGGGAAAGATAAGCAAAGCTGGAGTAGAATGTGACAACAGAACCAGAGGACAGAGATGAAAGAGGACCCAGGCATAAGTGCCAGGGACCAACACGAGTGAGGAGGCGAGACAGAACAGAATAATTGGGAAGAAAGGGAAGAGTGGGGGAGGCTGTCAGTGGCAGAGCATTCCCCAGGACAGGAAGCTGGGTCCTGCGTGTCTAACCCAGATTCTCCCAGGCCCTGCCCAACCTGAAGGAGAAGGTAGGTGAGGTCAGTTATTAGATCTTTCCCATTTAAAAAAAAAAAAAATCAAACAGAAAAAGAACTCAGGGAACATCTGGGAAGGGAGAGCAAGTCTAGGGCTAAGCGTGGTTGACAACCTGGACGCTGGAGGAAAGCAGATATACAAGCTGGGCCTTACAAGACACACCCCAGGTTCCTTCTCTATTTGATTTTTTTCTAAGGGGAAGGGCAGATGTGATAACTGACCTCACTTACTCTCTGACAGGTTGGTCATGAGCTGGGAGAATTTGGAGTAGACATGTTGGACCAAGCTTCCGGGTGGAACATTCCGGCTTTCCCTTGCAGCTAGCATTTCACTTCACCTCGGTACTCCTATATCCCCAACCTCCAGCCTACCATAGCCCTTCTACTACTGCTCTGGCTTCAGCCTGAGCCTCCGCCCTCTTGGCGAACAGATGGGAGCTGGAGGAGGCTCGCAGCGGGCTCTGCCAGGTGTCCAGGGATGGAGAGGGGGATGGAAGCCCATTCAGGATCGGTGGTGTGCAATGAGGCTAGGCTTGGGATAAGGAGTCCATCACAGGGTGCAGGTGCGCAGCCCTGGCTAGGCAGCTTGCCAGGGTGCAGAGCAGAAGGATGAGACTGCAGACCCGAGGGTGGTTCAGGTCTATGACACGCCTGGCGCTGGGGTGGGGTGCTCCCCCCAAAGGGGGCGGGGGTCCTGGGAGAATCTTCGAGGTGGGAGGGTCCCACCCGCAAACCCGGATGTTCTGGAGTAGCAGCTGAACAGAGTTCATGAACACCTGGCGGGCAAGGGGCAGTGCGGGAGCCCTATGCGGGGGTCGGGGGGACAGTTCCCGCACTCTCTGGTCCGTGATGGGGCCCTGCGCCTAGCGGCGCCCCCTGGCGCGGTGAAGGAGGACGGAAGCAGCAAGGTGGAGGCGTACAGGGAGGAGGGACGGTGGTCCCCGGCGCCGTGCTCCACACCCGGTCCGCGAGGAGCTGCGCCCCCTGGCGCGGGGGTGGAGAGGCGGGAGAGGCCCTGGCTCTTACCTCCCGGGGTCCCGCGGGTGACGGCGGCAGCGGCCATTCTACCCCAATCCGACCCCCCCTAGCGCCGGCTGACAGCGGCGTTCGACGTCAGTGCGCACGGGGCGGGGCCTCCCAATTAAGGGAACGGGGTCGAGAAGGGAACCTGGGGTCAGCACACTTGGGATTCTGGGCCAATGTAAGAGACACGTTGCAGGATCGTCTCTAAAGGGGCAAAAGCGCCGAGGAACTGGGATCTGGATGCGGAAGCTCGGGCGACTGATGTGATTGTGGGAGCATGAGGATGGGGCATGGGCAGAGCCAGAGCCCTGGAGGCGATGAAGGCTGGACCTGGGCAGAACTCTTCTTGCCTCGGGAGAGACTCTTCAAATTTGGGGACCTAGGACTGGCGTTGATAACGCCTTTAATACCAGTAGGAGGCAGAGGCAGGTTGATCTCTGCGAGTTCGAGGACAGCCTGGTCTACAGAGTGAGTTCCAGGACAGCCAGGACGTTTCACAGAGAAACACTGTCGAAAAAACAAAAAAAGAAAGGGGGGGGGCTTGAGGGGTATCTAGCTTGATTTTACTGTAACTGGGTCCTCAAGAAAATCAAAGGAGTCCTGTTTTTTCCATTTCCCCTTCATCACTGCCGCACTCAGCAAGACTACACCGGGCTCTTTAATAACAGAACAGAGAGAACACAAGACCAGGGTCCGGCTGTGAGGGGATGGGGCTGTTGGACAGGAACTCAAGTGGGCTGTGAACAAGTTAGGGTTAGGAGAGGGAAACACCCGCCTTGACGTCACCAATGAGGAGAGTCTCCCGTTTGAATTGGTCTTGGGTCCCGAAGCTTAGGCATGGGTGATTTCCCTCTACTCCTCAGACTCCAACTCCATCCTCTGAGGATTGTAAGTGGGGTTCCTCCTGGCTGTAACAGTGCTGTGGGCCAGAGAGCTTAGCTGCCCAGAAGCATAATGCCCCTCCTGGCCTAAGGGAGTCCAGGGAGACCAAAGCAGCTGTAGATGAGAAAAGTGGAGAAGTGAAGGGAATGGGGATGGAAAAACGGGTCTCTCCAGACTAACTTCCTTCCTTCCTTCCTTCCTTCCTTCCTTCCTTCCTTCCTTCCTTCCTTCCTTCCTTCCTTCGGTTTTTGAGACAGGGTTTCTCTGTGTGGCTTTGGAGCCTGTCCTGGAAAACTAGCTCTTGTAGACCAGGCTGGTTTTGAACTCACAGAGATCCTCCTTCCTCTGCCTCCCGAGTTCTACCACAGCTGGGCACCTCTCCAAATTTCTTAATGGCCAAATCTAGGCACACCAACCCCCCCCCCCCAAATGCTCGGATTCATGACTACTTTTTGTTCTTAAACTCAGCTATCCAACTTGGCTCTTGGATTCTGCCACCTCCCCATTCGAGATCATGAATTGACATCCCCTTCCACCCTACCAAGTTAATCTCCAATCATACCTGATCCCTGGGAGTGACAGAATAATTCTCTTCCTGTGGATAGGCTGCCCTCTCTTGTTCCTCGTCAAGGTATTCAGTGGTGCTGAAGAACTCATAGCCCTCTTCTAGTACTGGGAGCTCGGATGTAGCCTCAGAGCTGCCCCACTGGGCCTTCTTCAGTCTGTGGAGACAGTTGGGTTAACATTGAGGTGCCAGGAGGGCAGGCTTCCAGCTTCTTTATTCTTTGCCCTTCTGGGCTGAAGCAGTTCCTACTGGGACTCATAGGTGTTACTATTTGACCCTCAACTCACCTCAACATTTTGGTCTCCATAGACAGAAGCATTTTCAGTTCAGGGACCCATCAATGACCCCCTAATTTCCCCTAGTTCAATGATGTGCTTTCTTGTCATCAGGGGTCATCTCACTCCTTCCAGCTAATGTGACTTATCTTTCATCCCTCAATTGCTTCTTTCCATATTATAGAAATCATGTTTGAGCGCCAGCAAGATGACTTAGCAGGTAAAGGCATTTGCCACCAAGCCTGAAGATCCAAGTCAGGACCCAGATGATGGGAGAAGAGGACCAATTCCCATAAACTATTCTCTGACCTCCACACACATGGCATGCAGTACATATGTACACACATAATTAAATGCTAAAAATAAAGAAATTATGTTGCACTGACACCAAGGGCATAGTTCCTTTTCAAGAACAAATGAATTTTCTCAAAGCTCTCAACTTTCTTTAGTTCAAATTACCACCAATCCCTGTTCAGCTCCCAGAGGCCAGAGGCCATGCCTCCTTACTCATTGACAATTCTCTGCCGCCTCCTCAGGTCCTCCAGATGATAAGTAACAGCTCTAACACGGGCTGGAATGTTTCCAGGGCCCTTTTGCATTCTTTCCAAATGCAGCTTCTTTCTCTTTCTTCTCCAGAGCTTTTCAGGAGGAGGGAGACCCTCAAGAGGGTGCAGGCCGGGCTGGGAGCAGCCAGTGGCCCTCTGTGCCAAGAAGGAAGAAGAGTTGCTAAATGGGTAGACAGACATTGGTTTCAGGGAAATTTGGGATGAACTAGAGAATCAGGGATCATTGGAAGTTCAGGTACCATCTGGAAAACAGGATGCTTGGTTTACAGTAAAAACGGCCTAGTTAGTATACTAGTTGGAAAATACCAGATAAAAAGGGTAATAAGGATAGGAAGGCAGTGGGCAAAATTTAACAGAAGGTTGAGGAGCAGAATCTGTTATACCAGTATTGGTGGAATGTGCTGTTCTTCCATCCAGTTGGAGCTGAGAAGAACAAAAACAGGAGCTGGAGTCAGGATACCCTAGTGAACACCATTTCTCTCATAAACCCTCCCAACCTCCTGTTGGAGTTACAATTCCCATCAAGTAGTGTGAAATAACCTCCAAACACAGGCTTATTCCTGTAAGGATTTATAATCATTAAAAATAGTCTAGTCTCACCTTCCCACCTCCAGCTTCTGGTTTCTTCTCCACTCACCTAGACCTTTGGCTAAGATTCTCCCAGAAGGTATCTCCATAAGGCTGAGGCATTGGTCTGCTACTCTGGGAAGTCAGGCTGCAGGGTGAAGATCGGCTGACCACCCTGGAACACCTGAGGGGAGAACAAGGTAGGCAGGCACATGTCTCAGAGCAGCGATTCTCAACCCGTGGGTCATGACCCCTTTTACAGGGGTTACTGAAGACCATCAGAAAACACAAATATTTACATTATGGTTCATAACTAGCAAAATTACAGTTATGAAGTAGAAACGAAAATAATTTTATGGTTGGGCTTCACCACAACAGGAGGAACTGTTAAAGGGTCACAGCTTTAGTAAGGTTGCGAACCACTGTCTTAGAGCATCTACTCTCCCACTGGATTCAGTAGTGGTTCTTTTTTTTTTTTTTTCCCTGACCTGGAACTTGCTCTGTAGACCAGGCTGTCTTTGAACTCACAGAGATCTGCCTGCCTTTGCCTCCTGAGTGCTGGGATTAAAGACATGCACAACCAATGTCCGGCTTCAGTAGTGGTTCTTTTCCATGGGATCCTACAGCTGTTCACATGCTTGCAAACCATGCATTTTCATCCATCCTCTCCCTTCACTCCCTCCCTCCCACCTCTCTTTTGAAACTAGGTCTCATTATACAGCTCTGGTTGTCCTGGAACTTGCTATATAAACTAGGCTGACCCTAAATTTAGGGATCTGACTGTCTCTGCCTTCCAAGTGCTGATATTAAAAGCATGAGTCAAGATGGGTATTGGTGACACATATCTTTAATTCCAGCGCTCAGGAGGCAGAGTCAGAGGCAGATGGATCTCTGTGAGTTCGAGGCCAGCCTTGTCTACAGAGTGAATTCCAGGATAGCCTTATAGGGGTGTTGAGGGAGGGAACATGAGTCACAATGCTCTCTCTGCCCAACCTTTTTAAGACAGGGTCTAATATATCCTAGGCTGGCCTCAAACTCAATGTGTTTCAGAGGATAAGCTGTTGCACTTAAGATCCTCCTGCCTCAGGTGGATCTCTGTGAGTTCAAGGCCAGGCTTGTTTACAGAGCAAGTTCTAAGACAGGCTCCAAAGCTACAGAGAAACCCTGTCTCAAAAACAAAAACAAAACAAAACAAAAAATCCTCTTGCCTCAAGGGGTGGAAAGATGGCTCAGTGTTTAAGAGCACATGCTGATCTTGTAGAGGACCTGAGTTCAAATCCCAAGGTTCAGATTAGGTGGCTCACAACTGCCTGTAACTCAAGATCTGTGGAGTCCAACCCTTTTCTGGCTTCTGCAGGCACCAACATACACATAAAAATTAAAGTAATAAATAAAATTAAAAGATTTTCCTGCATCCTCCTCCTGATCATAGGCTTGTACTACTACACCTAGTTTTTATTTGTTTTGTTTTGTTTTTTGAAACAGGGTTTCTCTGTGAAACAGTCCTGGCTGTCCTGGAACTCGCTCTGTAGACCAGACTGGTCTTGAACTCACAGAGATCTGTCTGCCTCTGCCTCCTGAGTGCTTGGACTAAGGCATGAGCCACCAACGTCCAGCTGGATATATTCTTTTTATTTTATGGATGTTTTGCCTGCATATATATTTGTGCATTACATTCATGCACTGCCTACAGAGATTGGAATAGGACATTGGGGTCCTCTAGACTTGGAGTTACAGATGGTTTTTAGCTGCCATGTGCTTGCTGGGGAATTGAACCCAGATCCAACAAGGGCTCTTAACTGCTGAGTCATCTCTCAAGCCCTTGCTTATATTCTTATTCTATTCTTATTGTGCTACTATACAGAGCACAAGAAAGTAATCCCCCCCCCACCTCTGCCTCCTGAGTCCAATGAGAATAATCTTTTAAAATGGTATCATATTGGCTCAGTGGTTAAGAGTATTTATTGCTCTTTCAGAATGCTGAGGTTTGGTTCCCAACACTTACTACAGGCAACTCACAACTGCCTGTAAACTCTGGCTTTAGGAGATCCAGCACCCTTTGATGCATGTGTGTAATCTCAGCACATGGGAAATGATGACATAACAATCAGTATGAGACTAGCTTAAACTATATATGACAACACTTCAAAAACAAGCAAAGGGGCTGGTGATATGACTTAAAGAGTTAGTGCTTGCTGTTCAATCGTGAGGACTGGAGTTCATATCTCAGAACCCATGTAACAAGCTAAGTGTCCCTCACACACCTGTAATCCTACACCTGAAGGGGCCCAAGAGAGGACTGCTGGGGCTTTCTGGCTTCTACTCTGAGAAAAATGTGAACTCCAGGTTCAGAGGGAGACCCTGCCTCAAAGGAAGAGATGGTTTGGCTGGAGAGACATCTCAGCAGTTAAAAGCACTTGTTACTCTTGCAGAGGACCCAGATTAGGTTCCCAGAACCCACATGAGATACACACACACACACACACACACACACACACACACACACACACACACACACCTGTAGAACAGGCTGGCCTCAAACTCATAGAGATCTGCTTGTCTCTGCCTCCTGAGTGCTGGGATTAAAGGTGTGCACTGTCTGGCTGATAAATAAAATATTTTTAAAAATTTAGAGACTAGGTGGTGAGTGATAGAGGATACTCCACACCTTCTGGCACCCATGTGGCAAACATGGTGCACACACTTGCACATATATGATAAGAGATGTCGTTCTGTAAATATGTTTCTCTTATTGGTTAATGAATAAAGCACTGTTGGCCAATAGGAAGCAAGATAGGTGGGACTAGGAGAGGTGGAGGATTCTAGGAAACGTAGGAGAGTTGCGATTTGATCGTGGGAGGAGAGGACGAGTGAGTCTGGCATTCTCGGGAAGATAAGACCATGTAGAAATACATATATTAGTAATTATGGGTTAATAATTAAGACAGAGCTAGACAATAAAAAACACTAGTCACTGGCCAACAGTTTCATAATTAATACAAGTCTCTCTGTGTTATTTGGGGCTGACATGGCTGTGGGACCAGGCTGGCGGGAAAGTGCTCATAACACAAATATGTGAGAATAAATTTACATATATATACATATATATAATTGAGGGGGTTAGGGGACTATCCATATAATGAAAATTATTGAATCTCACTGAAAAGAGTACATCAGAACTCTTTTTCAACTATATTTATTTGAAATTTTCCATAATAAAAAAGGTTGAAGGAAATAAGTGTGCTTATTATATTTCCTTGAATAAAAGTTCCTATCCCCACCATCTTCAGAATAAAAATACAAAATTTCATCTATGGCCTACAAGGTTTTCTATGATCTGGCTTTTGTCTAACACTCTTAACTTTATTCTTCACTTTTTTTTCAGTCAATAAGTTTATAGTACATTGGCCTATGCTGTTACTAGAACATTCCAAGTTTATTTCCTTCTTACCTCCACCATCCCCATTGTGCAGACAAACCCCATCTCATTTCCAATTAACTTCTACATAATAGTTTTCTACAGTGACCCTATCCTTATATCCCCTCTATGCTCCCTTACTCGGTACTTGTGTATCTTTTTTGAGTAGTTCTCATAACTAAGTGTAACGATGCTTATTTACACATTGTTCTGTCCCTAGCCCTGTGAGATAAGGACCCCTTTCTTTCTAATTGTTGAATCTCCAAAGTCTACTATAGTGCCCAGAATATTACAGTGTTCAAAACCTCTTGGGGCTAGAATGCTGGCTCAGTGGTTAAGAGCGCGCATAATGCTGTTGCAGAGAACTGGAGTTCTTTCCCTAACACTCATGTCAGCAGACTCACAACTCTCCGTAACTCTAGTTCTAGGGCATTCCAAGCTTTCTTTTGGCCTCCATATAAAGTAACAATAGTAAATCATTTATTGAATAAATTAATGAGCTACCAAACCCCTAAACACAGGCACTGAGGTTCCTGTTCTTTCTTACTCCTTTCTGAGAAGAACCCAAGTATACAATATTCCCAGTATCACATTCTTATCCTTCCCACACAATAGGGGGGACTCACTTGGCAAAAGGGAGGATGTTGTCTCCATCTTCCTGTCCCTGCATGACTGGACTCAGTTGGGTAGCAGGACCGGATCGCCTCCTTGGTGCTGGGAGGATAATGGATAGTGAATCATTCACTCATGGGACCAGACCATCAGCAAGTGTGGAGATTGGAAAGGGACTAAACATCCTACCAAGAGAGCTTAGCATCTCTAAGAGCAACAATAGTGCTATAATATTAACAGAACACCTAACGTTGGAGATAAAAAAAACAACAGAAAAGGTGGATAATGTGAAGGAGGAAGTGTTCTGGAGCTAAAAGTACAGAGTAAGTGAAAATTACAGATGCAAGTTATGTTAATTGTAATACAAGATGATGAAACAAAAAGCACGACAGGTGGACATTGGGTGGGGTAGAGGCCTTTGCCAATAGGGCTGGTGACTGGGGACAGACAAATGGAGGAATCGAGGATTGCTAATACATTAGATGTGAAAGGTTAGTGAAACTGTGGAAAGAGTAACAACAAAGGAGGGTGTAACTGAGATTGTCTCCGTTAGTGGTTCTCAACTTGCTGGTCTTGATCCTCTGGGGGGTGGGGATCCAATGACCTTTTCACAGGGGTTACCCGAGACCATTGGAAAACACATATATTTACATTATGATTATAACAGTAAAAAAATGACAGTTATGAAGTGGCAACAAAATAATTTTATGCTTGGGAGTCACCACAACACGAGGATTAAAGGGTTGCAGCAGTAGGAAGGTTGAGAGGACTGGTCTACAGTGAAGTGAAGAGAGAAGTCAGTTGCACAGAAACTTTCCTGAGAAATCTATACCCATCCTTGGGTGTATACAGTCCTTTTACTGAACTCTTCTCTTCTTCCTTCCAAGATTTACTTACTAATTTTTTTACTTATGTGTATGTGTGTAAGCCTGTAGGAGTTTATGCATATGCAGGAGTTGGAGAAGGGCAGAAGAGGTCTTCTTCAAAAGGAACACGGGCTCTTAGTCACTGGGCCAACTCTTCTGCCCCCATCCCTTTTTCTTTTAATGCCTATGGTTAAATCTATTTTAGAACCTTTTCTTAATAAACTCCACTTATTTTATGGAGTTTATTAAGAAATAACTTAATATTTCTTATTATTAAGCTCAGCTCCAAAGAGAACTTGCTGCTCTTGTGGAGGACCTGGGTTTGGTTCCCGGTCCCCACATGGTGGTTCACAACAATCTATAACTTCATCTGATACCCTCTTCTGACCTCTGTGGGCACCAGGCACACACATGTGCACTTATGTATATTCAAGCAAAATACACATAAAAGTGAAATAAATAAAACCTCAGTTGAATAGAGCCAGCATTTGGGACAAAGATGGCCTGGATATGGTGAAAGGTATGTGTGTGTGTACTTATATAGCTATGAGGGCCAGAGAGATGGCTCAGCATTTCAGTGCTTGCTGCTCTTGCGGAGGACCTGAGTTTGGTTCTCAGCATCCATGTCACACAGCTCACAACCACCTGTAACTCTGGCTCTAGAGGATCTTCTGACCTCAGGTGCTCACATCCTCAATAGATCCCCAGGCACAAACAGGAGCACACATAATTAATTTAAACTATTTTTTTTTTCTTTTCAAGACACAGTTTCTCTGTGTAACCCTGGCTGTCCTAAACTCACTCTGTAGACTAGGTTGGCCTTGAACTCAGAGGTCTGCCTGACTTTACCTGTGGAGTGCTGGGATTAAAAGTATGTGCCACCACTGCCCAGCTTAAAAATAAAATCTTAAAAAATATACTAGTTATGGACCAAGGAGTTGTCCAATGGATAAAAGTGTTTGTTTCCCCAACCTGATGACCTGAGTTTGATCCCTGCATACATACACACTACAACAATCAAATCTTAATTTTTTACAAAGCATACTACAAAAATAACCCCAGAAAATAAAATAAAATAAAATAAATGAACAAATATTAGATAAAAGCCAGGCGTGATGACACAGGTTATAATCCCGAGGACACAGGAGGCTTGTGAAGGAGCATCATAAGTTTGAGTCCAGCCTCGATCATAACAGCAAGTCTTTATAGAAAACAAAAAAGCACTAGAGATGTAACTCAGTGGCAGAGCAGCTGGCCTGCATGCCCAAGGCTCTGGACACCGTAACCAATAAACTACTAGGTAAGTTAGGAGTGACTGTAGACCTGCACAAAGGACGGAAAAGGTTAACCACAGCCTGTCAGATAGCAAAAGGGTATCCAAAAGTGAGCTAGGCATAGTTTTGAAATCCCGTGATTCCAAAATTCAGGAAGTTAACTCAGGACTGAGAATTTAAGTTCAGATTGTAGTATGGGTTACAAAGAGAGACCCTGAGAATCACAAAACAAAACTCACAAACCCAACAAGAATAGCTAAACTGAGCTGAGACAGGGTGGGGAAGGTAAAAAACAAAAAACAAACAAACAAAAAAAAACCCCAAAGAGTTTCTTGAAGTGGCAGATGGGGGTAGAGTTGGGCTGAAAGGGCATGTGAGGTCTAAACCGAATGCCCTGAGTTAGAAGGGGGCCTAAGAACTAAGGGAGCAATTGGGAACTGAGGGGTATGGGGCCTTCGGATACTTGGGTCTGAGTGGGTGAACTAGATCTTAGTAAGGGGCAGGACAGACTTCAGGCAGCCAGACAGACTCAAGACCTTGGCAGCAAGACACAGCTAAGAGGGGAGGGAGATGGGCACCTAAAGGATGGTGCCCTGGCTGAAGAGCCTGGTGGTGGGGTCGTCTTGCGGGGAGAAAAGGACCAGGCCTGAGGGCATGGCTAGGGCCTGAAGGGGCTGAGGCAACCTTTGGCATTGGCAGGTGGACTGGGGTTCACAGCTAAAACTTTGGCAATAAGCAGGAGGGCATAACTGGGGCCGTGAGATAGTGGGCCCATGCTGAGGGACATGGGCAGACCAGGCAGGGTGAGCAGGGGTCTCCAGCCCTGAGAAGGCAGTTGCGGCCTAAAAGACACCTGAGCCTGAGCGGGCTGACAGGGGCTGAGGTGGCGATGGGCGAGTCAAATTTGAAGGCTCTCTGGGAAGAGAGCATCCGAGCGGCTAGGCCGGCGACGCCTGCGTTTGGCCCCATCACCTGAGGTAACTGCAAAGCGAATTCTAGAACCTCTGGTCGGGCAGGACGGAGCAGCTCCGCTGTGACAGACTGTGGTCGCCCCACTGGCCCCGCTCCCCAGAAGGCCGGGCTGAGCGGACCGCCTCCTGGGCGTGGTCTGCCAACAAGCCCCGCCTACTAGGAGCGCCTCTGACGGCGGCGACGTGCGCGGCTCCGGCCTGAGTCCCCTCCGTGGTCCGCCCCCACCTTTCCAGGCTCCTCAGGAGCGCTAGTTTCCCCACGTTCCGGCGTTCTGCTCTCCCCGTGTGCCCGCAACTCAGTTCCCTTGTCCTTGCGCGCTGGGCCCTACTGTCAGAGTGCATTGCCCCTTTAACTAGAGTGGACCCGGTGGCGCCTTCCCGGGACAGCGCGTGCCCGCCTGCCCGTCCGCGCGCGCGCCCGTCCGTCCGTCCCCCGCCCCTCGCTCCCGCCCCAGCTCGCGCTGCCCGGGCGGGCGCCGGCCGCTGGCGCCGCTACTGCTGCCGCCCCCGGGGCGCGATCCGCCGCCCGCCGCCCGGGGACCCGGCGAGGGGCGGGGGCAGCCCCGAACTGGCCCCGGGTGTCCCCGTCTCCGGTCTCAGGCATCCGGGAAAGTTTGTCCCTTTGCTTTCCGCCGGGAGTCCTGCCGCGACGAGGTGAGAGCCGGTGGGGGGCAGGGAGGGGACGCCCGCGGAGGAATGCGCTGGGGGGGGGGGCGGGGAGCCGGGGTTCCGAGGTCCAGATTGCAGGACCCAGCCGGGCAGGCTAGGCGCGAGAGCTGGGATCATGTGCTATTTATCCCGCGGAGGCGCAGAGAGGTGCCAGGCCCCGGACAGCCGTCGGTTGGCTGGACTGGAGGACCGGGGAACTCATGGCCGCCCAGAGCCGACAGGCGGGGTCCTGTTGGAGAACTGCCGGTGGGCAAGGTGCAGGTGACCCGAGACCCCCTTTGGGGTCTGTTGGCCCTACCCCAGCCTAATAAGCTCTTAAAACTGTACCAGCGGACTCTGCACCTACTCCGTATTTCTTTACCCCACTATGCCCTAGCCTTGCCACCCAATTCCCTGTTTTCTTAGTTTCGGAGGTGTCACATTGCGTGTCCGCCCTGGTGTCCTTCCCTTCCCTAGTTAGGGTTTTGGGGGTCAGGGCTATTCTTCCTGAGCCGGTCTCTGATTTTGGCTACTCCCTTCCTGTGGTGGGATAAATCAGCCCTTCACCCTCCCCTGCTCTGCCTAGGAAGGCTGGTGAGGGGGAGAGGCCCAGTCCAGCATGACAGAAGTTGGAGGTCTTTGGGGACCACAGGTGGGGATGTGGCATCCTTGAACCCTTTTCATAAGTCTTCACCCTGCCATCCGTAGGCGTGGGCTCCTTAGACTCTCCTCCCAGGGTGTGGGCACCCGGATCACCCACATTCCTAGGCTGCAGCCTGGCACCTTCTCCAGGCCAGTGGACGCCATAGCACTAGCCCCAGGTTGGGTTTGGGACTAGTCTGTTTCCTTTTCCCTTTGCTCTCCTTTCAGGAAGGCCCCCCCCTCCCCAAGCCTTGCCCACAGTTCCTGCCCCTCAAGGTACAGGTATTCTGGGTCTCCCTGTCGGTGGAGTCCTGGGGGTTGTGCAGACAGGATGACTCCACCCTCCCCTGTCCATTGTCCTGGATCCTGAGGAGGAAGTACTGGGGGCTGGGCAAGGGGTTTGGGGACCACAAGGCAGGCCCTGTGGATCCTAGTTCCAGGCTATACGCTTAGCTCTTGGTCTTTCTCCCATGTGTGGGGTTGTCAGATGTGGGAACTGATCTTTGCCTTTCCCTTGTTGACCCTGGAGAAGAACTATAGATTAGTTTTATGATTGGAGTTTTTGTCTCCTCTCAGCTTCCAGTTTGTGCTTTGGCCCCAGAACCCGCTCCCTGTCTTTTCAACATCTCTGTGTCGCTCCTTCCTTTTCTTCTGCTGGCCTTTCTTTTATAGCCTGACCTCGATCTTGTCTTTTGTCTGATTCCTCCCATTTTCCTAGTGTCTGTAGCTTTCTGTCCCTCTTCCTCCCCTCCTGCCACCCTCAGTGTCTCTGCCCATGTGTTCTACCCTCTGAATCACCCTCTGTCCAATCTGTGTTTCATTCTCTCTCTCCCTCTCCTCTAACTGAACGCTCAGTACACTTGTGAGTGACTAAGAATAAAAATATCACTGTCTCTGTCCTTGGATTCACATTGCTTTCAGTCACACCAGTGGGGTGGCTAGCCTTACTTTCCTAACATCTCCCTATCCCTTGCTCTCTAAACACAGAGCCCCAGACAGACCTTTGGAGCATCAGGTGCCTCCTGACTTCTTTCCCCCAATCCCAATCTGGGTTTCCCTTACAGCTTTACTGGTGTGGCCAGGCCCCAAGTGTAGGATGGGGCTTCCCATACAAGGGCAGGTGGCAGTCAGCACTGATACAGCTCCCCTGATCTGGGATCAGGACACCAGGTAACTCTGGGGTGATGGCCTAATCTCCTACAAACTGGGATCTGGTTGGGGATATTTTCAGGAGTGACATTTGGGAGGAAGGCCAGAAGAGTGGGGAACTGAGTCCTTGAATGATGGGTAGCTAGCTGGGGTGACGTGTGTAGACCTGGACTCGAGAAGCAGGGAGATGATGTCTTGAGTTCTCCCAGGAGCTCTGACCACCCCTTTTTTCTGTCTTCCAGCTGAGAAGGGCAGGAGTTCTGAAGCTATGGCTGGTGCCTCAGTGAAAGTGGCAGTGAGGGTTCGGCCCTTCAATGCCCGTGAGACCAGCCAGGATGCCAAGTGTGTGGTCAGCATGCAGGGCAACACCACCTGTGAGTGAGTCCAGAGGCCTAGCTGGGCATCAGAGGGGAAGGCCAGGCCTGCTGGGTTGTCCTGGGAGGAAGGCCATGCTGGGCATAGAGCATGTGCTAGTACAAGGGGGGGGGGCAGACTGGCCTTTGCATGTTCCTGTCCCTGGGAGGGGGAATGTTGGCCAGCAGCCCTCCATTGCCCAATCCAGGGAGGCAGCTCAATTGGGGCGGGTCCTGTGAAGCCAAAATTAGCTTTGGTGGCTGGAGGGGGTGGGGATTATTAAAGGGAAGAAAGGAGTTAGGACAGAGATGGGGAGTGGATCCTGGATCCTCAGGGCTTATGGAAAAGTGGGCAGAGGTTGAGCGTACCTGACCTTGACTCTCCTCTCTTTGTTTTCTCAGCCATCATCAATCCCAAACAGAGCAAGGATGCCCCCAAAAGCTTCACCTTTGACTATTCTTATTGGTCACACACTTCGGTGAGGCTGTTGGGGCTGGAGGGAGAGCTTAGCCAAAGGAGATGGGGGAGTTGGGTCCTGAGAAGAGGGGTTATTGCTGGGAAATAAGGATACCCAAGGATTGGATTGGGAGGACCAGTACCTCTGGGTGGAAAGAAGAGTACTCTTGGGTTGCATTTGGAACCTAGAGGGGGGAAAGTAGAATCCATCCAGATGATTAGGACCAGCGAGGGGCTGGATAAGAACTTCGGGATGATAAGAATGATGTAGTGGGGGTGCGGGTCACACGGACCTTTGGGCAGTCCCTGAGTGGTCAGGATGCTTAGGCCATAGACACAAAGAACAACCTCATCCATGGCTCCTGTCTTTCTCTGCCTCCATTTCACATAGGTGGAGGATCCGCAGTTTGCATCTCAACAGCAGGTGTATCGAGACATTGGAGAAGAGATGCTGCTGCACGCCTTTGAAGGCTACAATGTCTGCATCTTTGCCTATGGGCAGACAGGGGCTGGGAAGTCCTACACCATGATGGGGCGGCAGGAACCAGGGCAGCAGGGCATTGTGCCTCAGGTACACGCTGCCACCTGACTGAGCAGCCGGGGAAGGGGCTGGGGGGGCATCTTCAGTTACCACAGGGGAAGGAGGACAGCCAAGACCTGACTATCTGCGACTGTTTGCAATTGGAAATGTGATGGAGTATAAGGCTTGGCTGTATCCTACCTCCCAGGTTCCTTCTGAGAGAGATAGACTTTGCACCCACCAGGACAGTCCAGGCATTAATATTAGAGGAGCCATGGTTTTACTGCTCACTACTATTCTATTTTGTCTTATAACTGGTTTTTAGTGCATTTCCCTTATGGATTTCAATATTAGATGATGTTAACTGTAATTGTGACTAATTAGGAGTTGTCTATAATTCCCCGTGTCTGTGATCTATAGTGGCCTCCATAGGATAGGATACATGGGTTTGCATCCTAGCGTGATGGATACTAGCTTGTGACTCTAGACAGATGTGAATCTCTGAGAGGTTATTTTCTATCATCTATAAAATGGAACTGACCCCTCCCTTGGGACTGGGGCAAGTGTTGTTTGGGACAAGGTCTGATCTGGGGCTGGGAGCTACAGGCATACCCTGAACAGGAGCTTCTCTGTGTTCCCCTCCAGCTCTGCGAGGACCTCTTCTCTCGTGTTAATGTGAACCAGAGTGCCCAGCTTTCCTATTCTGTGGAGGTGAGCCCCAGTTTCAGGGCAGGTAGGCAGGAGGTCTGGTACCTCTGGACAAGAATGTAGGAGAACAGTGATTCAGACTGAGGTCTGTCTCTGGAGTCAGCTTGGGACCTAGTTCTGGCTGTGCTGGTGACTACTGTGACTTTGGGTGGTGGTTTCAGCTTGTAGCTCCTGTGTATGTTCTCCTATGGGATGCTAATGATTAGACCAATGAGCGAGCATATTCAGCCTTATCACCATGCTTGCTGTGCCTGAGCTGCAGTTAACTTTGTCCTGAAAGTGGAGGTTAGGGTCAGTTTCTCCAGCAGCATCACTTCCTGTTTGCTTCTCACTCTCAGGTGAGCTATATGGAGATCTATTGCGAGCGAGTACGAGATCTCTTGAACCCCAAGAGTCGGGGCTCTCTGCGTGTCCGGGAGCATCCCATACTGGGCCCCTATGTGCAAGACCTGTCTAAATTGGCTGTGACTTCCTATGCAGATATTGCCGACCTCATGGACTGTGGAAATAAGGCTCGGTGAGGCAGGCTTACCTGGGAATGGGAAAGGAGGGACCAAAAATTGTGAGGGTAAGGGGCAGGAACCTAAAACTTTCCCTTTCAACTCCAGAACTGTGGCTGCTACCAACATGAATGAGACCAGCAGCCGTTCCCATGCTGTCTTCACCATTGTCTTTACTCAGCGCTCCCATGACCAGCTTACTGGCCTGGATTCAGAAAAGGTAGTGACCTCTCAAATGGTGTGATGGAAGGGGCTTGCACATTCCCTGCCCACTTATGCTCAGTGGTTCCTCCTCAAAGCTTCCACAGCCCTCTCTACTCTCCTGCCAGATAGTGTGTTATAACGTGTGTGCTTGCTTGTCCTTAAAGGTTCTCAGGGCAGGGCCCAAGTCCCTCTGTGCCCCTTGTCCTGGAACACAGTGAACCTATAAATATTTGAGTAACCAGGTCCTCACTATTGTCTCATTTATTTTCCTTTGTCCCCCCCTTGGGTTTCTCTAACCTTTGCTAAACACCCAGATTTTTGCTGCCTGTTCTCCTAATTCCCTTCCCATCCCCTACCCACCCCAGCCACAACCTGCTTTTTTCCTCCAACCCCAGGTCAGTAAGATCAGCTTGGTGGACCTCGCCGGGAGCGAGCGGGCTGACTCCTCAGGGGCCCGGGGTATGCGTTTAAAGGTGAGGGTGCTTTTTATTGAAGGATGGATGGAAGCCTTGGGGGTTATGTAGGGAGGGAGGTTCATCATTCTCTAGGACCTTTGCTGGCAAAGGAGAGGGGACGTGGATCTGGTTAATACAGGGAGGTCTCAATTCCACATTCCTCATCCTTTCCCAGGAAGGCGCCAACATCAATAAGTCCCTGACTACTCTAGGGAAGGTGATCTCAGCTCTGGCAGATTTGGTAAGCCCTGAGGGTCGGAAGAGCAAAATCTCAGGAAGAGAGGGCACAGGGAATGACTCAGCCTGACTACCTTCCCCCTTTATCCCTCAGCAATCAAAGAAACGGAAATCAGATTTCATACCTTACAGAGACTCTGTGCTCACCTGGCTGCTCAAGGAGAATTTGGGTGAGGGGTGCCTTCCCCATCTTTGCTAACCTGCCTTCATCCCATCTGGCAGAATCTTCTGCTACTCTTAGAATCTCTAATCTACTCAGTGTTGTCCCGCCCTTTCTCCCCCTGAACAAGGGATCATCATATAAGGAAGTATCCTATGGTGACATCATGGCTACACCCTGCCAAACTAGGGACCTCACTGACCTGTTTACCCCTGACCCCAAATACTGCTGAGTTCATCTCCCTCCCTGAGGCCTGTGACTGCACACATATACCTGACTTCTCCCTGCCCTCACCTTTCCCTACATTACTGGACTTCATGATTGGCTCCTCCACAGTTCTCAGCTTTATTCTACCTCAGACATTGGCTTCTCAGACCTTTGTACTGGGGCTCCCTTGTTTTATAATCCACTCTAATTTACATATTTATTTATTATTATTTAAATATAGTTAATCAATTTGAGACAGAGTCTCATGTATCCCAGGCTGGCCTTGAACTCTGTCCTCTTGCTTCCACCTCCTGGGTCCTGGGGTGACAGTCACACAGTACCTTACCCAGTCCAACTCACCTGTAGTTTCCCATCCTCTCTATAGGTGGAAACTCACGCACAGCAATGATTGCAGCCCTGAGTCCTGCTGACATCAATTATGAGGAGACACTCAGCACGCTCAGGTGGGGTTTCAGCTTTGGTGGTGTACCAAAAGTTCCCGGAGCTCAGAGGCTGGTTAGTCATAGGAGGGAAGCTTCCAGCCCAGTCACAATGCCTTGAGATCTGAGGAGGTGAGCAGGAAATAGACAGACAGACAGCAAGGGCCTGCTCTCACCACTTTTATCTTTCCTGGTTCAGGTATGCAGACCGCACCAAGCAGATCCGATGCAATGCTGTCATCAACGAGGACCCCAATGCCCGGCTTATCCGAGAGCTGCAGGAGGAGGTGGCCCGTTTGCGAGAGCTGCTGATGGCTCAGGGACTCTCAGCCTCTGCTCTAGGAGGTAAGGCTACTGGGGAGGGACAGCCTAGGGAGGTCCCTTAGCTTGCCCTGTCTCTCTTTCTTTGCCTTTGCCCAGTCCTGGGATGTGGGAAGATCCATTCACCATTAAACCCTTTGTGTGTTCAGTGATGTGGACACACATCTGGAGAAGGCACTTACATATTTTGATATTATGGAGCTGGGACAGACTTAGTTTCTCAGGAAGACTCAAGACAGGTGTCTAGAATGAAGGTACAAGGGTTAGGTACAATAGAAGGTACAAGGAATATATAACAAGTCCAATTTAGGAGACACTGGGGAATGTGTCCTGGAGAAGTTGGTATAAAATGGACAGGCCCTTTCCTTTTTTTTTTTTTTGTTTTTGTTTTTGTTTTTGTTTTTGTCTTGGATATCACTGTATGCAACCTTGACCTTTCTATAGTTCAGTGGTTCTCAACCTTCTTAATGCTGTGACCCTCCTACCTCAGGCTGTCGAGTACTGGGATTATAGGCATGAGCCACCATGCCTAGCTGTCCTTTGTTGTCTTGAGATAAGGACTAATTTATGTAGTCAAGATTACCATGTACTCACTATCCTCCTACCCCAGCCTTCCAAGTGTTAAGATTATAGGCATGTGTCACTATACCTGGAAACATCAGGGTTTTAATCAACTATAGCTTAATAGTCAACAACAGGATGGTTTCTAAATGTAGCACTCAGCTTAATGTCCATGTGTTCACGTCAGCAGCATGCATACTAAATGTGGAATGATATAGAGATTAGCATGACTACTGCCCAACGATGACATTAAAATTCACAAAGCATTCCATATTTATTTTATTATTAATTTTTATTTACATTTAAAACAATCTTATTTTATATACCAATCTCAGTTTCCTTTCCCATCCTCCCACTCTCCCCACAAACCCCCCTATCCCAACCACCCATGGGTAAGGCCTCCCATTGGGGATCATCATTTGGGGCAGGGCCTAGGCCTTCCCTGTGTATCTAGGCTGAGAGAGTGTCCCTTCATAGGGAATGGGCTCCCAAAGTCCATTCGTGCACTAGGGATAAATACTGGTTCCACTGCCAGAGGCTCCATAGACTGCCTAGGCCTCCCAACTCATACCTACGTTCAGGGGGCCTGGTTTGGTCTTATGTTGGTTCCCCAGCTGTCAGAGTGGGGTCCATGAGCTCCCACTTGCTCAGGTCAGCTGTTTCTTTAGGTTTCTCCAGCATGGTCTTGACCCCTTTGCTCATCACTCCTCCTTCTCTACAACTGGATTCCAGGAGTTTGGCTCAGTGCTTAGCTGTGAATCTCTGCTTCTGTTTTGCATTCTATATTTTTAAAAGGAAAAAAAAAAAAAAAAAAAAAAGGAATGTGAGTGAGAAGATACATAATATGTTAACTGGATCAGATGCTCACCCTGTGTCCACTCTTAAGGTCCATCTCACTGAGGATAGCATGCTGAGGGGCACAGTGGAGAGAGTAAAAGTTCTTGGGAAGGGAAGGAGGATAAGGTAGATGAGTTATCTTGTAAAGGAAAAGTGTTTGGGCAGAACTGAACAGGCTAGGCACACATGATGTGGGTGGGACCTCTTCACCTCAACACAGCTAAGAGCTTTCTCATGTAGAAGCCATTAATGGTAGAAAAAACGGGAAGCTTCACCTCATGCAAGAGTGAGGCTCTCCATGCCTGGGGTCTCAGCGGCTGCCATTGTCATTCAGGAGGGCCACCTCCCTGGTGGCAAGTTGCCCAGTGGTCTTGTGCAGTTCTCTGCGGCCCTCTGTTGTCTCTGATTGGTTCTATCTTAGCCTCCTTCTCCTCTTCTTCCTTCCAGGTCTGAAGGTGGAAGAGGGGAGTCCTGGAGGTGCTCTGCCCGCTGTATCATCTCCTCCAGCCCCAGTTTCACCCTCATCTCCTCCTCCACACAACGGGGAGCTGGAGCCTTCATTCTCCCCCAGTGCTGAGCCCCAGATTGGGCCTGAGGAGGCCATGGAGAGGCTGCAGGTGGGAAACGAGCTAGCACTGGCAAGCTGAAGTGGAGGAAGGGATCTCAAGAGTATAGTTGTCTCTGTGGTAGGTGTTTGTCCAGGACTGTCCTGAACTTGCCTTCTGTCTGTCCTGATGTCCCCAGGAGACAGAGAAGATTATCGCCGAGCTGAATGAGACTTGGGAGGAGAAGCTTCGTAAGACGGAAGCTCTGAGAATGGAGAGGTATGAGGGGCCAGGGTATACCTCTGCAGGGAAAGGGCATGGGCAGCAGTGATGAGGCTGATGGTTGTCTTTCCCTTGCTCACAGAGAAGCGTTGCTGGCTGAGATGGGCGTGGCTGTCCGGGAGGATGGTGGTACTGTGGGTGTCTTCTCTCCCAAAAAGGTGTGTGAGGGATTGGGCAGAGAGGCCTAAAGAGCTCTGGATGCCTGAAGAGGAGGGCTGGGTGTGGCAATGTGGAGCTTCTAACTAATCCTAATCCTTTGCTCCTTTGCCCCTGACTTGTTCCTTCATTATCTTTTCCCCATTCTCCACCTTCTGCTTATATTGTGTAGCCATCTCTGCCTTCTCCATCCATCAGCTAGTCATCCAGAAACTTCAGTGCATATTAAATGCTTGTGGCCAACTACTGAAGGGTCCATTAATGATGACAGTCCCTACCTAGAGGAAAGTCAAAGCTTCATAAAGCCTAGCTCCTTACATGCATGTGTGTATAGGAGTGCTCGTGCAAAATTAGTCTCCTGGCTGCTTCAGGAGAGGGGAAGAGGGCTGTGCATGTGCTGTCTACTTGAAAGCTAACTGAGCCAGGTGTGGTGGCACAGGTCTTTACTCCCAGCATTCAGGAGGCAGGGACAGGTGGAGCTCTGTGAGTTCGAGGCCAGCATGGTCTACAGAATGAGTTCCAGGACAGCCAGGACTGGCTTTGTTGGACAGAGAAATCCTGTCTTGAAAAATGGTGGTGGTGGGGGAGGTTGTTTTTTTTGTTTTTTTGTTTTTTTTTTTTTTTTTGAGACAGAGTTTCTCTGTGTAGCCCTGGATGTCCTGGAGCTAGATCTGTGGACCAGGCTGGCCTTGAACTCAGAGATCTCCTGTCTCTGCCTCCTGCATGCTGGGATTAAAGAAAAGTATATTTTTAAAAGGCTAACTAGGGAAGATGATTGGAAAAAAGATGGAGGAGGAGTAAATGTGACCTTGGTTGGAAGTGTAGGAGGGTTGGTTTTCATTGGAAGCATCCATATGGCTTAGAGATGCGGCAGCTGGATCACTTTGGAAGGTAGTTTGCAAAATGAGACTTGAGAAATGGACAAGACTTGGGTAGAGAGTGGTAGGAATAACATGAGGCTAAACAGACATAAAGCACATTAGGCTATAGGGGACTTGTGGGTGCCAGACGGGTAGTATGTGTATGGTAGAGCTTTGCTTAGGAGGAGAGAAGCAAGGCAAGCATATCCAAGGCCTAGGCTAGACAGTGGTGGTGCATGCCTTTGATCCCAGCACTTGGGAGACAGAGGCAAGTGGATCTCCCGGTTCGAGGTCAGCCTGGTCTACATAGTAAGTTCCAGGACAGCCAGGGCTACACAGAGAAACCCTGTCTCAAAAATAGGTAGATAGTTGGATGGATGGATGGATGGATAGCTAGATAATAAAAAGGAGTGGTCAGGCCCAAATAGGCACAGAAATAATACTTAAAATACTTCACCAACTGGCATGAGACTGAGCAATTAGGAGGAACACTGGCAGTATAAAGTCAGCATAGCTGCCATATGAGGTAACACAGTCTATAATCTCAGACCTGGGGATTGGGTGGCAGAGGTAGGAGGAACTCAAGTTCAGGGGCAGCCTGGGCTACATAGTTTAAAATTAGTGTGAGCTTTATAGTGAGATCCTGTCTCAAAAAAATAAAAGGCTGTCAGGGCCATGCCTTTAATCCCAGTACTTTGTGAGTTCAAGGCCAGCCTGGTATATGTAGTGAGTTTCAGGCTAGTCAGTGAGACCATGTCTAAAAAAGAAAAGAAAGGCTAGAGTTCTAGTTCAGTGTATGCCTTGCATACTCAAGGCCCTGGGTTAAATTCTCAGTAGGAAAGAAGTGAGAGGTAGAGATTGAGGGGGTGGGGGTGGAGACTACACACATACTTACAACAAAAAACAAGCCGGCATAGCTCACTGGTGTGTGTTGATGGAGGATGATATGGGAGCCATTTTGAGCAGAGCAGGAACTTCCAGTCCCACCAGGAAGCCAGCCTGGCCTGTCTGGTACATGGTGCAGAACAGGCCGGGATGAGGCCTTACTCAGAGGTGCTGCTCTGGCTAGTCAGTAGTCCTGCAAAGAGGTGGTTCCACAGGAATAGGGGCTTGCTTTATTATGAGGTCAAGACCTTCTAGAAAATTCTGAAAGCAGGACTCACTGAGCTTTAATTGTACTTTTGCACATGCACACACACATATAACCTTACTAATTTTTGAGGTTTATTTTTTACTTTTTTTTTTTTAATGTGCTATGGATGTTTTGCCTGCATGTGTGCCGTGTGTGTGCAGTGCCTGAAGAGTTCAGAACAGAGTGTTGGGTCCCTGTGGGACAGGAGTTAAGGAAGGTTGTGAATAGCCATGTGAGTGCTGGGAACCTGAAGGGCAGTCAGTATTCTTAACAGTTGAACCATCTCTCCACTCCCATCTCATCACCTCATTCCTTTTTTATTGCATTATTTGTGTGTGTGTGAGCAAGCATCTTTACTTGCTGAACCATCTTGTTGCTCCTGCCCTACCCCTTAAATTTAAACATTTTATTATTGTGTGTGGGCATGCACAAAATTCATGCCTCTGTGCTCACGTGGAGGTCAGTAACCGCTCCAAGTAGTTTGTTTGCTCCTTCCACCTCTACTCGGCATTCTCGTTTCATCTCTGTTGCTATAATAAAGCACCCAAACCAAAGACAACATAGGCAAGGGAAGGGTGTATTCAGCCTACAGTTCTACTCCATCATTTCAGGCAAGTCAAGTAGGAACCCACACTGCTCACATCACATCCACAGCGAGGAGCAGAGAGGCAGCGAGTGTACCCATAGCTTGTGATGTTGCTTGCCTCCAGCTTTCTCTTGTCTTATAATTCAGGATCTGCTGCCTCGAGAAGGCTGCCACCATGAGCCAGAACTTCCTAGTTCATTAATAATCAAGAGACAAGAGTCTGAGCCAGAAAATTCCTCATTCAGACTTTTCTTAGGTGACTCTGGGTGTGCCAAGCTGACAGTTAAAACTAACCAACATACCCAGGAGTTTGAACTTAGGTTGCCAGACTTAGACAGCAAGCAGCTTTACCCACCGAGCCTCTTACTGGCCGTGGCTTCATTCTTTGAACCTTCGTGTTTGCATACCTTTCTGTTTTAAAGGGTACTTGCTTTATTTCCTGGAGCCAGAATACTCTGTTGGATGAGGACGATTTATTTAAGTAAACTTCCTACTGGTAGGAATTTAAGTTTTTCACATCCTCTGATACTGTAATCTTACAGATAGGTGTTAAAAGCTGGGCATGGTGCTACCTGCCTATACTCTCAACACTCAGAGGTCTAGGCAGGAGAATCATCAGGAGTTTCAGGTCAGCTAGGGCTACATAGACCTATCCCCTTCCTTGTCCCCCAAACAAAAGATTGTTATCTATAAGAATAGACTCTTGGAAGTAGGTATTTAGAGTAAAATGGTGGCTCTTTATTTTTATTTTTATTTTTTAAAGGCGTGGTCTCTGTGTTGCTCTGCCTAGCCTGAATCTTAATGTAGACTAGGCTGGCTTTGGATTCACAGAAATCCACCTGTCTTTGTCTCCTGAATACTGGGATTAAAAATGTGTGCC